GGGCTGGGCTGGGCTGGGCTGGGCTGGGCTGGGCTGGGCTGGGCTGGGCTGAGCGCTAAAGGCACTCACGATAGAGCACATTTTGCTTTGTTCTAACATTCAATCACAAAAGGCAACAAAACAAATTTATGTGAAGAACAGCACTGCCTTATCTACAAAGGAGTGAGTGATTCGTTGACGATGGGACGAAGCATCTATTTTCAACAAAGAATGAAAACGATGGAAAGGCAAGATCGTCGTACAAAGATACTAAAGAAAGAGTGCTGATGCTGAGTATGATTTCTTGGATTTCTGGTCAAATCCCGACATCACGATCAAAGTCCAATCGTACATGTCGAAAACTTTGTACTTGGCTCTTGAAATCTGGATGCACCGCAAATGATGCGTCGATCATCCACTTCATGACTCGTAGTGATTCTGCAGAACGTGTCAGGTGATACAACGATGTACAAAACAAATATCGCATCATGCGAACACACTTCTTCCAATCAGACTCTGTAGGTTGTTGAACTCTTGAGGCAAGAATAGTAATCGTTGGATGGATATCCAAACGAGCTCTCTTAGAGACATAAAGCCCCCTTGCAACAGTAGTATGAAAGATTTGACGGTACTCAGCACTGAGTAACTTCCCTTTACCAGCTTCCAGTAAATCGTTACCAGCTGGTGATTCCTGCTTTGAATCCTTGTTGAACTTGATAGGAAAATCTTTTAACATGTTCTTAGGAAAATCTTTTAACATGTTCTTGACATAGTTGTCCATGCGTATCTTGAGTTGTCCTTTCACCAAGAAATCCAAAGTCATTCCAAGATATCTGTGTATCTTTCCTCTGACGACTTTACACGCCTGGATCGAACCATATCTCATGTTCAACCACTCAACAAATTCGTCATTTACTTTTGGGTCCATGTGACTTGACATAAGATCGTCAACATGAAGCCTGATAGTTTGCTGTTTTTCATCAACAACTTCTTTAGCAACACACGGGTCATACAGATTGAAAACAAATCTCTTTGCCTCCAAATCACTTCAAAACTGATTATAGAATAGGAGGCTCGATTGCAACATCCCATATATAGCACGTAGTACCCGCTCATAGAGTACTCGCTTTCCGTTCTCTAATACAACGTATTTGCAATACTCTGGGGCCATGTCAATCAATATCTGGACCATCATGCCAGTGATTTTCATGTAGATACAATCTTCTCCTTCCTTAGCTTCAGGCATATAAGTTTGAATGAAAGCGTTAGGCACGTCCATTGTCATTATATCTCTACCTTTGTGTGCATCAATAACACAAGTAGTGGTGATTGCTTCTTGCAAAGCAGTTGGACTTGCAGTGTCCTCTCGCAATAACCATTCACGAGTTCCATCGCCTTGGTATACTACGCGACCTTTAATTGTCTTTTTGAATTGCTTCTCCGCGAGTATCATCATTGTTGATTGGGCCTTCTTTCGCTCAGACGCGGTCATGTCTTTAACAAAATCGGAAGTGAAACAATCTCTCAGAAGCATTTGTCTCAATTCCTTATCCACAGTATTCTTTCCATTATCACCAAACTTCTTCAGTCCTTGATTGATGTAATACTGTTGAATGAAGTTCAGACCTTCATCAGTATCAAACTTGGCCTTGATCTGCATCATGCAACAAGCAATCAGAATAGCGTCATGCTCTTCATAATCAGGTTTCATCTCATTCCCAATCTGTTGGAAACATAGATTGTGCTGTGCTTCAAGGATAGCTTTACTGGCTTTAGTACTGCGACTTCGTTCTTTGGTACAAGTACCAGATTTTAACTTGTTCTTCAACGGTTTCAATTCTCTTTCTCGATGCTTGCGTCTTGTCGCAACTTGATTTTTGTTCTTATTGGCAGAACTGCCACTCCTGCTCGAAGGCCATTCTCTTGGTTTCTTTGGAACTTGGGAAAGGTTCAGCCCAGACATTGCAGCTTGCGCATACTTTTGCCCAGATTGAGTGACTTTGGCTACTTGAGGCGTTTCAGGCTCAAATACAATCTCTTCTTCTGGTGGCTCTTGTAGGTCCCCCAGATCAGTAACCAGCCTCCCAACCTCTATCGACATTTTCTTGATGGTGGTCCAAATTGACCACACCAATAGGTTCTTCCTCTCCGTCGCCTTGATCACCCAAATTGTCGTCTGATTCATAGTCGTCATCTCCTTGGAATCTGACAGTGAGTTCTGGCATATCATCGACATCATTGTCTGCATCTGCCAAGAGCGCTTCTCTTTTGGAGTCATTGATATCATTGAATTGTCCACGTAGATTGAAATCACGCTCATCTTCATCTTCAGGTTCATAGTCCTGATCAAAGGCTTCTTCTACTAAGTAGCCTTGTTCCGTGTCATCCACTCCTGCGATTTGATCGCCATCTTGAAATGTCTCCAAATCTCTCTTCTTATCAAAGAACTTCATGGAAGTAACACCTTCGGCAGCAGCCCAAGCTTCAACACGCTGGATTACTTGGTCGGTAACGGGTAGTACAACGACCTTGGGTCGGGAAATCATCTTCTTAGTATTGAGGTTGAGCACTCGGTGCCCAGTACGTTGTCCCTTTGTAGGTTCAATGTAAATTGCTTCGATACTTCGGGGTTCCATCGAATTGTTGGAATCCGTCCCAATTGCATGAACATATTGTCCAAGTTCAGCAACCATGTCACTCTTGTAGTTGATATTGACATTATCAATGAGTTGCTGCGGACTGAAATGTGATGAGATGCTGTCTTTCTGGAGAAAGACGTTCAATAGCTCGGCGGCTCGACGTCCAAGACATTCAGTGATCACTTTTGGTACCACTTTGTAGGGTAATGGTGCAAGAGCTACTCTGACTCTTTCTTTCAGCGTCCTATTGTTTCGCTCATCGGTAGGCTCGTGGTCTCCAGCTGCAGTAGGGTCAATAGTAACACCCGTATCATCTAGCATATCATCCGTAAGAGGAATGGATGCCCGATCACACTTGATGATCTTGACTTGAAAGCCTGCCTTGTTGTAGCGGCGGAATATCTTATCCAATGCTTCAAATACAGGGTCAGTCTCTAGGTTCTGCACGGGAATACATGAGCGATAGCACAGAGTGGTATCAATGCAGGTGAGAAACTTAGCATATTTGATCTCCATGTGATGGTAATAGATCGATTGTGCTGATATAATTCCTCTGGTGGACTGAAGATGTCGTCGTACGTCTTCTTTGCAATTGGTCTTGTTGACTTGCCTTTCAATGTCGAGGCATCAGGTCCAAAGATTGCTTTGGCATGATTGATTGATTCTTCAGTGATAGGACAGTTCTTGATGAGACCAGATCGGATCGCATACTTCAGACTTTTGGTGCTTGGAGCATTGAGTATGTGCATCGCACTTCTCGCTTCCATCGCAGCCTTGACTTGTCTTGGAGTGAATCAATCCTTCCTTGTTCTTTTGAGCGGTTGCCATCTTGGAGGTCATCTCGAGTCCAGCATATCCATTCTGTTTGTTTGAAGAAAATTCGAAATGGGGTTGATTATTTAAGTTGCTTAACTGGCGACGGTACATCACACTTGTCTCTTTGGCACCTGGTTCGATATTTGCTCCAAGTTGCTCCAACACATTCACACCCTTACGATTAACAAATCGCATCTTTCTGTTTCCATCACAATGCACAATAAAAGCATTGTCAGCATCAGTATCCATAGTAATGCGGTATCCCGCGGCAATCATCTCGCGCATAGCAAGTACATTGGCAATTCCATCTTCATCGTGATAAACTGGAGGTGCAAATCTTTGTAGAAAACCTTCTTTGTCGAGAACTCTGCTGCCCACGTTAGTGTGCATGTCAAGTTCTTTCTCAGCATGACGGAGTCCATGCATAAGCTCACCATCACAAATGGTGGTGATTGTACAACCACTGTCCATGATGACATGATCATACAACCCAAATAGATCTCTTTCCTTTCTGCGGTACTGGTAAATGGCCATGACAGCCGTTAACGGCAATCTAGAAACTTGAGATAGTTTTAATACAATTAATGCATCAGTTATATATATCTATATCTCTTTCCTTTCTGCGGCTTTGAATAAACTGCAGACCTTGATCTGCTTCAGTAGCAAGATCAGGCAAATCTTCATCTTCACTAGCATAGTGCCAGTCGGCTTGAAGTTTGACATTTGTCATACCAGCAGGACATGGAATAAGATAGACATCATTGTCAGTCTCATTTGACGTATCAAAATATCCAGTTTTCACAGCATGTGGAGTTCGAGCTTGAGTTGCATCGAATCTTTGGCGCACTTGAGCACCACTGAAGCCTTGTCGGCTGAGCTGCATTCCACTGAACGCAATCTCACCGTTAGCATTCATAGAATAAGGGACAGTAACAGTGACGCCACCTTGAGTTGGAATCTGCATGAGCTGCATTCCAGAAGGAACTTGCATCATTTGATTACCTGTAGTACCAGCAACTCGCAAAGGTGTGTTAACGCTTCCTGCAACACTTGATGCTCCACTTGTGGATGCTGAAGCTCCAGGAACTATAGCTGGAACAGTAGCTGGGACAGTTGCTCCAATCTGATTAAGATTGAGCTTCTTCCCA